CAATAAAATGGTAAATAAGTAGTAATTGTGTTCTGCCATAGTAGTAGAAAAGTTCTCCTTTAATACTTCTTCGGCTATTTTCTCTGTGGTTAGCATTTCTTCTTTTGTGCTGGGATGTTTATCTGACATAGGTTGTTCCTTTTGATAGAATCTCTTAGAATTCTTAGGTTTTCTTCAGGTGTTTTGTGTGTTTTTTTTAACTTTTTAATAGCTTGCGCTTGTAATTTGGGCTTGAAAGATGTGATGTTGAGATCATTGATTTTTTATTCTAATGTTTCAGTCCTCCTGTTTTGTCTTTCAAAGTGTTATCCAGTTCTAACACTTTAGTGTTTCCTTTTGAATTTTTATTCGGAGTTTTTGAATTATTTCTAGTAGTTCATTTATTTTATCAGATTGGTTTTGTAGTGTTTTCCTGAGTTCATAAATTATTTCTTCTGTTTTTTCTATATTTCTATCAAACTTATCCTCCAATCGCTTATTCTAGCTGGAGATCATCACAGTAAACTCCCTCATGGGAGGACTCAAAGCTTTCTCTTCTGCCAAGGTCACCTCCAGGTGTCTGTGCATCTGGACACCTCCAGGTATACACATCTGTATGTATTTTACTTAAATGAGTTGTTTCCCTTGTCTCCAGATGTGCACAAAAATTGATTGCTGCTTTTGAGACACAGCATTGTGTTTACTTTTTTATTTGTCTCTGGGCACAAAGCAGACTTATTGTAGACACCAGATAGCCAAGAGTGGTCAGCTAGTTCAACACTAGCCTACCCCCCAGGAGGAGCCAAAGGCAGAAAACAATTCAACATTGCTACCATCAAAATTCCCGTTTCAAGGCTGGCTACCAAGTCCTCAGGAAGTGCTAGAGAACGACCCACGTAACCAACATGACAGGGAAGAGAAGAGGCTATCTGAAGCACGCCCGTATGCCTGCCAAAGCTATATTTACTGACCCTTTATGTCAGAGCAAAGCACGGATTCTACTTGGGTGTGGGCTGGCCGATATGCAGGTGATATCACTTTAAATCCTGGGCTCACAGAGAAGTATTCAAGCCCTGCTGTGCTGTTTTTCTACCCTACTAACACAAGCCCACCAACCTTTGTACCTCCCTTGGGTTGACCTGGTTCCTCAATTCTGCAGGTGTCAAGGTATACCAGCCCCTTATACATCATCATGGGTCCAGTAGGTGCAATTGTACAATGATAAAAAAGTAAAGGTTCAGTGATAATAAGTAAAGATTATAGTGATAATAAGTAAAGATTATAGTAAAGTCATAGAGAGGATGAGAGATAGAAGAGAGATCAAAGTAATGGAGTCAGAGACATTTCATGGTAGCAATGCTCACCTCAGCCTCACTTGGTGGTCCACGTGGAGAGAAGCGGGGAAAGGGACAAGGGGAAAGGGAACAGGGGAGCGAGGATGGGAGAGGAGAGGGGGAACTGATGATAGGCCAAGCGGGAAGCCCGAGAGAACTCTTTCTTGCTAACCCAGGCCTATATATCTTTGGGGGGAGTGCACACCCACTAATTACAGGTGAAGACATATGTCACAGGAAGGGTTGCATTATAGGTTATACAGCAATGAGGGGGACAACCTAGGGATATACACACAATAGGAAGGGAGGGATTGGGGTATACATGTGACAAGATGGGCAGATCTTAGATTCAGGATGGCAGCCTAACTTTGGATGTCACTGAGCTGGTTTGACCTTTTTCTCTGGCCCCCCATAGAAACCATTATCAGTAGGGTGTAAACCCCATGTACAGGAACCAATCTAATGGTCACAAGCCTTTAGAGAGAAGTAGCCCATTGTCCTTAACAGCAGGGAGCGACCCTACCTGTAGTGGGACCAGACAGTAGTCTGGCAACTGACTGCCTTCAGGGAGAATGTCTCTAAGCATCTGACCTCCCACCATATGCTGGCAAATAGTCTCTAATGTTTAACATGTCTTTGGGGGAGGCAAAGCTGGGGTAAAGTCTCTTTATAATCCCACAACCAGTAAAATCCTGCTATATCCCCAGTCACCAAGAGTTTCAGCAAGCAGCAGACCGTGTAAGACACGAAATAACAATAATAATATATAATTGATCAAGGATTCACAAGGGTAGAAGTGTAGGGGAGGGAGGGGGAAAAGAGGAGCTGATACCAAGGGCTCAAATAGAAAGATAATGTTTTGGAAATGTTGAGGGCAACGTATGTACAAATGTGCTTAATACAATTGAATGATGGCTTGTTATAAGATTTGTAAAAAAAACAAAAACAAAATGATTAAACAAAAAGAATTCCAGCCAGGCATTGGAAGCCAGTTTACAACTGATCTAAATCTTCCCAATCCAGCTGTAATGCAGCGACCCTCTCAGTCTCAGGGCACAGAGGCCCCTGAATCTTCCTGCCCACGTTCATGTTCCCCTGTCCCCCAAGTATGCTGGAGGAGAAGTGTGAGTGTCCCCCACAGTGTTAGCGAGGGGTACATAAGAAGGAGAGGAATCGCCAGTTCATCCTGAGATTCCAAAGGGGGTTGAGGGGATGGTGGCTCAGTAAGTGTCCTGGGAAAGCCTTCAGTCTTTCTTCATCCAGAATGTTAACTGCTGGCTTCCTGTAATTGCCCTTTATTATGTCTTCAGCGGCGTGAAGCTGTGAAAGCACACCTTTTGTGCGCTCAGCCAGGTGACCATGTGGTTCCTTTCCTTTGTTCTATCGTGGCAGGTATTACAGTAATTGATTTTCTGATGTTGAACTACCATTACATTCCTGGAATAAACGCCACTTGACCAACGTGCAAAATTCTTTTAATATGTTTTTTGATTCCATTTCTTAGAATTTGGTTAGGGATCTTTGCATCTATAGTCATTAAGGATATTTGTCTGTAGTTTTCTTGTGAGATGAGGGGCTTCCTAAGTCTATCACAGCCGTACGCACGCAAGTGGCCTTCTAAATTACCAGGAGTGTGCCAGAGCTTGCCAGAGACTCCTCTGGACATCTCATTCCTAAGCTTGTCCTTTTTCCCCTTAATATCCTGAATGTCTTTTTACTTAACATATAACACAGAAATGTGTCATGTTACATTAAATATTACATTAAAATTTTAATCACTGAAAATTATTCTATCTGGTGCAGCCAATTAGTCTATTAGTATAGGTAGGGCTTAATGCCCACACTTCTTCCCTGTAGCTTACTTAGTTCCTATGGGTATACAAAACACTGTTACAGCTTTTCCTGGTAAGCTTTTCGGTTAACCTATTGCTTGCCCCAACTCATTCACTGCACCAAGTAGCCTGATTATCAACAAAATCCCCTAGAGAAATGTTTGTTCAGACTGGGTTCCTTCCAAATCAGATCAAATAAAGACAGTCTTGTGAGTAGGGTTTGTTAGGGAAATGCCAACCAAATCCAATAATTTCCGTTTTCTGGAGAATAAGACTTTCAAGGCGTTCCGATGCTGTTCTTTCCCATCCTGTGACTACCAGCTATTGGCTCCAGGACCGCTATGGAGCCAGCACAGGGAGGATGGGAGTAAAGCACGTTAATATGGCATAAAACTCCATGAGAAAACATATGGCCACACACAAAAATTGCACATGGATGTTTATAGCAACATTATTCATACAGTTAAAAGGTAGATCCAGCCAAGTGACTGTGACCTGACAAATGAACAAACACTTTGTAGTATGTAGTGTGTAGTGTGTAGGATATGTAGTATGTCCGTACAAAAAAGATACATGCTACAATGTGGATGATTCTGTAACACAGTATGCTGAATAAAAGAAGCCAGTCACAAATGACCACATATTAGATGCCTTCATTCATGTGATATCTCCACAACAGGCCATTATAAAACAGGAAATAGAGTAGGGCTTAGGACTTGTGGTGTGGGAGAGGATATGGGGGCAGTGAAATTTGTTAAGGTGATGAAAATGTTCTGAAATTGACGGTGATAATTGCACAGACCTGTGGATATACCAAGACATTGAATTGTACCCTTTAAAGAGGTGAACTGTGTGGTATGTGAATTCTATCTCAATACTTTGGGTTTTTTTGATGCTTGCTATTCTATGAAATTCGACAATTTTCTTGAATAAATGCTCAGTAACTTGCACTGAGCCAGGGGTGAGAACCTTTTTCCTGCCAATGGCCGTTTGGATAGTTGTAACATCATTTGCCAGCTAAACTGGTCAAACATTTGATTAACTCACCCCTAATGTGAAGGTTGGGACTGCTTCTCTGGTCAGGTGTGTGATGTTAGCTGGTACTGATGATCGCACAAGCTGTATGACAGCCCGGGAGCCAGATGCTCCGCAGCCCAGTGTAAGCCTGTGGTTAATTAACAGATGTATTAAAAAGTTGACTCTGGCGATGTTTGCCAATTTGCTGATTGCTTGTATGGAAGGGAAATGTTGAAGGATTTACACTGCCATGTCTTCTAACACAGGGCACAGCATTTTTATCCTATCACCCTGAGGATAAACTCAACCTCCAGTTCCTTTAACTGATAATGCCCCCAGGCCTCCTCACTTTAGTCGGTGCCCCTGCTATTTCTCCCAACCATCTGTCCAGGCTGCCTGGTGCCCTTTCGCCCTTCACCTTCGTATCCCATCCAAGGCTAAGTGTGGCTGAAGGAGGAGCTAGCGAAGAAACAAAAACCTTCCCCCACATTGACTGTCCCACTCTTCATTGTCTGCCCTCACCTCCCTCCCTCCCTCCACACTCCAGGTGTCCTACGTGAAGGCCATTGACATTTGGATGGCAGTGTGCCTGCTCTTTGTGTTCTCGGCCCTGCTGGAGTACGCAGCTGTCAACTTCGTGTCTCGGCAGCACAAAGAGCTGCTCCGATTCAGAAGGAAGCGGAGACACCACAAGGTAGGCCTGGGAGACGCGGCCCACGGAGGCAAAGAGGCAAACCAATCCCCGTGCCCTCGAGCCCGTTGGACTCAGAGCGACCCCACAGCGTAGAGCAGGACCGCTGCTTTGGGTTTCGGAGACTCTAACTGTTTGCAGACGTAGACGGCTCCCTCCTTCGTGCCCAGTCACTGGTGACCTGCTAGCTCCCAGCTCAGCCCACCACACCCCAGAGCTCCGCACTAAGGAGGCAACGCTGGGGGCCCACAGAGTGTCCAGGCAGCCGGGGCCCAGAACGCTGGTCTCACTGGGTGGTCTTTCTCAGTGAGTGAGACAGGCCAGAAGTAAGGATCAGAGCTCCAGCTTCCCCTTCCACAAATAATGCTCTGGTTCAGTCCATGCTTCCCACTAGAGGGACACTTCAGGAATTGCCAGGGACACCTGAAGACAGAATTGATGGAGCAGAGATATTAACTAGGTCATAAACCTAGAAGGTGAGAGGCAGAGATGTCTACGGTGTTTTTCTTTCCAAGGATTTGGTTCTGAATGGGAATTGTACCACCCAAAAAGGTCTCATCTTAAAATCGAATGCTCAGATGCCAAGACCAGCTAAGGAGGCAGAGTACTTTGCCACCGGATATTCGGAGCAGCTGGGCAAACAGTGTCTTCAAGATCCCCCTACAGCTTGCTCGACCTTGCTCTCTGGCAGGTGTGTAGTATGACCTGGCAGTTCCAGTCTGTCACTAGGAAGACTGAACAAAAGGAGACCTTCCAGCCAGACAATGTGCCCCAGCTGCTCCTAATATCCGGTGGCAAAGCACTCTGCCTCGTTAGCTGGTCTTGGGATGTGACCTCAAGGTGCTTTCTGGGTCTAATACCTCCATCTGCAAAATGGACACAATGGGTGTGTTAATCTGGGTAAAGAAACAAATTCATAGACACTCAGATGTGTATAAGAAAGAACTTTATATAAAGGAGTAATTGTATATTAAGAACCCATCCCAGCACAGTAGATCCAGTCCATAAGTCCGATATCAGCCCATATGCCCGATACCAGTCTGTAAATTCCTCTTCAGACTCACGCAACACAGGCAATGACACCAAATTCAGGAAGATCACATGCCAGTGGGTGGAAAGTTTTGTGGATCCAGTGGCAGTGGAAGCATCTTAGTGTTGAAGACGAAGCAAAGAGAGAGTGTGTGTCCCACCTCCAAGGAGGATGATAGGAGTTCCCAGAATCCTCAGGAGGAGGCCATGCTCACACAGAGGCCTCATTAGCTATGACCTGATTGACAAGATAAACTCCACCCATTCGCAAGTTGACAGGAGATTATGTAACTGTCACAATGGGTACTATGGAGAGAATTAAGTCAGGAGCTACCACACAGTGCCAGATTTTAAAATTATTAAATCAGCATAGATTTTCCATCAGTGTGTTTCTTAAGCCTCAGCAATCAAGTACGATTTCTTTTTGGTAATTAACTACAGGCAGGCGATGGAGCTCTCCGGGCAGAAAATGTCCATGGGGCTAAAGATGAACTATCACCATCTGTCTAAACTTTTATTAGAAGGGGAAACTATTTTATATAAATTAAAAGAGATCTGACTTCCTAAAATATTCCTAGTTTCTATCCTCCCATTAAAAAGAAAACCCAAACCCTCAGGCCACTTCCATCACAGTGGCCGTCGGCAGGCCTGCCAGGGCCCTCAATCTTTCCAGGAGCAGACAGACAGTCCCCTTTTTCCTCCTATGGGGCAGCCGACACCACAGGAAGCCCCAGCCTTGCGATCACAGCCGCCTCACCCAACAGCACGATCAGTGTTCCTCCCACACTGTCCACTCTTCTCGGCTTCTTAAAATAAATAAATATGTGTATGTGTACAGATGTAGATGCAGTAAACGGGCCAAATACAACTATCTCTAGGCTTTATTTTTAGTTGTCCCTTTACCCCATTGGTTAGCTGCTTTTATTATTTGCTTTTGCTAGGAGAAAGCTAATACATTTGTCAGAGAGACACTTATTTGGAAAGGCTATATCAAAGACCTCTGGTTAGCATACCCTGTACAGCAGGCAACGATGTACTCTCTCTCACAACAGGTATCATAGGAGTAAACAAGGCTATGAAAGGAGCCCCTGCAGATATGTAGTGCAGTCAGCTCATAGTACTTCAAAGGCCAAAAGGGGTGGGGGGGGACTTTCTCTCAGGCTGGGTCACATGCGAATAGTTCACCAAGGCCTTTAAACAAGTGTCTCCAGTTTGCTTGCTCTGCTGGGTTCCCACCTTACTCTCTCAGCGTGTTTCAGCTGGAAGAGACCACACAGGGCACCCTGTCCTCGCTTCAAAGGCAACAGATGGGGATACTGGTGAGGCAGAGACGTGAAGCAAGTCACCAGAGTCCCCAGGAGCGCTAATGGCCAAGGCCGGGGGATTGCAAGCAACCCTGGCTCTTTACATAACCTTGAACAGTCATGAGTTGCTAATCGGAGCGTCAAAGTTCTTTCCCAAAGCAAGTAAAAGCAGCCCTGCATTTATGAGATCTGAAATAAGAACTAAGGTGACAGGCATAGTGGTTACACTTTGGGCTGTTAACCAAAAGGTCAGCAGTTCAAAACCACCAGCCACTCAGCTGGAGAAAGTTGAGGCTTTCGACTCCTGTAAAGAGGTAGAAACTCACAGGGCTGTTCTACCTTGTCCTGCAGGGTCGCTGTGAGTCGGCTTTGACATGGGGGCAGGGAATAAATGTTTATCCCAAGGCAGAGGTCCAAATCCAGTAGTCCAAAGGTCAAGTTTGGCATGCAAAGGCCATTCATTTGGCCAACACAGCCAGCGTTTTCAACATCTGGAATTATTTTTAAGCACACTTTAAAAAAAAAAACAACAAAGCAAAAACCCCTCACACTCACAGCATCTGGCCCTACATCCCCACATGGTGATGAAGGCATTCTCCATGTTCCCATCCCCCACATCCCCTGCATCTCTTCTGAGCAGAGATCTGCCCACACCCCACTCACTTCTGCACTTACTGGCCCCTCTGAGCATTTGAATGTGTGACTTCTTTCCAAATGGGTCCGAACTTGACAGAAATGTCAGCGATTACCAAGGCCCAGAAGAGAGCTCAGCTTGAGGCTGACTTCCTTTGGGGTAAAACCACCCTGGGGGTGGCTTGTGCACTGCAGGTGGACAAGCTCGGCCTGCACAAACCTCCCTGGGCAGGAAGCTTGCCCAGGGGACTTGAAGCCCCAGATGGTGAGATGAGAGGAATTTCTCGGAGCCTGTGAGCCTAGCCAGGTCCCCCAGCTCCCACCACCTTCCCATGGTACCTCACTTGTTGGGCAGAAAGCATCTAGCTCTCAAATGCTTCCTCCAGCCCAAGCAGCTCTGCAATCGTTGGCTAGTCGTTTCCTGCCACCTGCTGGCTGAACTATGAACAACAAGCCTTTGCGGGTTATCCCTAAGGAATTTTCTTTCTCCCAGCGGCCTGGTGAAGTTGACCATTTTGTAGTTAATTAGGCCCTCCAGCACACACCTCCTCCCGCCTATTCCCACAGACAAGCGTGACCAAATTTAAAGCGGGACACCATTGACCAGGGGGTTGAAGGGGATTAAAAATTTGGTCTATATGGACCAAATAGACCGTTCCCTGCTTGCCGTGCATTCTTTCCAAATGGGACTTTTTTAAAACGCCAAAAATAGGGACTGTCCCGCCAAAAGCAGGATATCTGGTCACCAGCACTGTAAATTTGGTGCTTCTGCCCGCCTAGCGAGGGCCCAGGGAAGGTATGTCCAGGTGGCCCTCACCCCTCCAGCAAGGGCAGCTTTGCATTGATTGACACAGAACAAAGTCAGCCGCACCCCCTTCCAGACACAGGGCCCAGTCATTTGGCAGCTTCCCACCCACACTCCCCCAGCCCCGCTCCTCTCCTTGGGCTCGGCACAACCCTCTCCTGGCCCCTCTCCTGGAACACCAATCTTTACTGAGCTCCTATTGACCGGACACCAAAGCACACCTGATTCTTCCCCCTTGAGGGCGGTTGTGGCATGAAGGTGTTAGACCACATTCATTCACTTGCCGGAGAGTTTTCTGAACATTTATCTCAAGCCCTTTCATTGCGAGGGGAACAATCCTGGGGTGGGGGTAGGGTTGGTCTGGTGTTCAGGGCAGGTAGAGACAGAAAGTAAACAACACACATATTTACTGCGACTTGTGTTCAATGCCGAGGGTACAGTGACCGACCACGGCAGACAGTGCTTCTGCCTTCATGGGGTTTGCCGTGGAAAAGGAGAGGCAGATGCTCAGCAAGGGCTATACTTCGAGGCCAGAGCACCCGTTGTCTTCAATCAGCTCTGCCTCATGGTGGCTTCCCATGGGACCGGGGAGGACTGGGCTCCCCTGGAGGGTTTTCAGGGGCTGGTGTGTCAGAAGAGAGACCTTTCTTCTGAGAACTCAGATCTCTAGCCTCCCGTGGAACAGCCAAGGGCGTCTGCTGTGTACACCACCCAGAAGTTCAAGGCCAGGAGACATGAGTCCATAATTTTCAGGAACAGCGGTGGTGATGGATGGCAAGCTTAAGGAGCCCAGAGCAGGGCTGCTTAGCCTGTGGTCAGGAGCTGAAGGGCTTCCCGAGTAGAATCGGGTGAAAGGGTCAGGAGAATTGGCAAAGGACTTCAGGCACAGGAAACAATTGAAACAGAAGCCCAGAGATAAGAGCAGAAGCGTGACATTTCCCAAGAAAAATATATTTCGGGTGGTAGGGTACAGAAGGAGCCACGAGTTCGGCTGTTAACTGCAAGGTCAGCAGTTTGAACCCACCAACCGATCTGCAGGAGAAAGACTAGATTTTCTCCTCCCGTCAAGAGTTGCACCTTCTGAAATCCACAGGGGCAGTTCTACCCTGTCCGTCAGGGTCACTGTGAGTCAGACTTAGCTCGTTGGCAGTAGGTTTTGAGTTTGAAGTCAGCACAGCTTATTAAAAGGTTCTACACAGAAGCTAACCCATCAGATCTGTGTTACAACAACCCAGGTAGGCTGGGAGGTGCTGGACAATCTGGAGGCAGCAGGAAGGCTGGGCCGGAGGTGATCACTGATGGTCCATGCTAGGGGCAGCAAAAGCAGAGATGCAAAGGAGACAACGGTGCCTGAACTCAGTCTGTCATTCTCTGCTGGCCCTGTCCTGCATGAAAGGAGGAGGAGGAGGAGGTGGAGGAGGAGGAGGCACCTAAAAGTACTCAGATCTAGATAGGAGAGCAGTGCGTATTGATGAAATCCCTCCAGAGCCACACAGTGAGCCCACAGGTCAGCCTGAGACCAAACACTGGTGGCTTCCTCAGAGCTCACAAAGAAAGGCGACAGAGCGGAAAGTGCTGAGAGCAGACAACAGGTGCCCCATGCGTCTGACCCATGTAAGGTCGCCATGCCCTGGGAAAGGAGCGCACGAGAGGAAGATGGAGGAGCATGGCCTCTGGGTAGTGGGCATAAGGCGTGAGAGAGGGAATACACCACGGATGACGGAGAAACTTCAACACAGCTGCTAGGGGTACACAGCATGTGGTGGGAGGGTGGGGGCTTGAGTGGGGGCGGACCTGGAAGGTAAGTTGAAGCCAAATGATGAAAGGTCTTGAATAATACCTGGTCTGAAATCCAAAGCTCTTGGAAGTCACGCTACCAGGAAATGGCAGAAGGAGCTCTGGACTCCTAGCTTGAAAGAAAGATGAGGAGCTCGCTCCTGGGCCGTTCACATTCACCCCTCCACCCAGGGGGGACGCTCGCTGGGGAATGGGGCAGGGTGGGGAGCGGGCATGGAGGCAACAGTGGCAAAGCAGGGGATCTCTCCAAATTGTCCTCTGAATTCCCATGGACAGTCCAGCACAGCGCACACAGAGCTTCGCTCACCCCCAGCCTCCTCCGATGGCCAGAACACATGGTGAGACCCTGGGTGAGTCTTGTCCCCCGCTTATGGGAAAAACAGAGTCCAGAAACTCAATCTGAAGCCCAGAGAAGGAGGTTGACTTGCTGAATGTCACACAGCTCTCTGGGCTCTAAGCCCCATTCCTATCCCCTGGTTTGCATCTGTTTCAGCATGCAAGTGGCGCCCCTCTATGAGGCAGAACTCCCCAGCCAGCCAAAGCCTCCAGGGACCTGGAAGGGTAGTCTGGGAGGCAGGGAGAACCAGAGGGTCATGGCCTGGCCCCCAGGGGAGTGCCTTGCAGGGAGGGTGCCCAGCCCCTGTCTTATTTTAAGTAGAGCCCCATGTTGAATCTATTCCAGGAGGATGAGGCCGGAGAAGGCCGCTTCAATTTCTCTGCCTACGGGATGGGCCCAGCCTGTCTGCAGGCCAAGGATGGAATCTCGGTCAAGGGCGCTAATAACAACAACACCACCAACCCTCCTCCTGCACCGTCTAAGACCCCGGAGGAGATGCGAAAACTCTTCATCCAGAGAGCCAAGAAGATCGACAAGGTGTCCCGCATCGGCTTCCCCATGGCCTTCCTCATCTTCAACATGTTCTACTGGATCATCTACAAGATCGTCCGCAGGGAGGATGTGCACAACCAGTGAGGGGCGGGGGTGCAGGGGAGGGTGGAGGCTGGGAGAGGGCACGGTGGGAACAGCACAGGAGTCTGAGGGCCAGTAGGGGAGAGGGAGGGAGGGAGGGGAGAGGGCACGCACACCTCTCTCTCTCTCCGTGCCATAGCAAATGGCAGTGCTGCATGACTTCTATGGTGTGGCAATATCTATTTAACCTCGGGTGGGAGGGTGGAGGGGACTTTTCTAATACCAGAATTGAGGGTGGGGAGGAAAGGGTAGGTTCAGGGTGGAGGGTGGGGCATGGGAGGGAAAACAGCTTTCAAAAATGTAAGTCCATGGGCTGTGCAGTTTCCCCATTTGGAAGGAGGGTGCAGGCTGCCCCAGAGCAGAAAGAAAGCAATGTAATATATGATCTATATCCATGCTTAATATTAATGCAAAAACCACAAAATTTATTTCTTAACCTATCTGCCTAGTAATTGCTTTAAATTCTTAAAGTCACAGAAGTGATGGACAATTTTTCCCAGAGTGAAAATAGCCACCCCCAAAATGCTTGCTCTGGTGTGTTCCCCGTTGCAACCTTCCAAATGCCATCTCTATCTTCGGACAGGCCCAGGTGGGCCCATGCCAAAAAGCCATTGTGCCTCTGCTTCCAGAGGGATGGTGGCATGGGCATGAGCCGTGAACATGGCGAGAGTGGGAGAGAAGGAAGTGAGGCCCGAGGATTGGCAGTCCAAGTAACCCCACCTCAGTGCTCACATCTCCTTGTGAAGGACCGCGCCCGCTGCTCTCTGGAGTCCCCTTGCTTCTGGGCTTCTACACCCACATGACTCACCCTCCCTCCCACCCAGGAACGGCTGCCATGGTTTTCTCAGAATATTGCCAATATGCAATCTTTTTTATGGCTTGGGGGGGGGGGGGAGTAATAATATCAAGAAATAATATGCAGATAGACTGAGTGTAAACTGATGCACTTTTTTAAAGGTATATTTTTTTGGAGAGTTTCTCTGGAAAGGCAAGTGGGTGTGTGATTGGGAAGGTGGAGTCTGCATAACAAAATATATTTATTATATTCTGTTTCTATAGAGTTAGGTGTTACGAGGTGAAAGAGCAGTTAGGAGGCTGTTTACACTTAGATGTGGATGAAGAGAGTTCAGAAAGTCTATTCATTATATTTTGACATTTCATAGATCATAAAATATGTGGGAAGCTTGGGGAAATGACCCCATTATATTTTTATAAGACTTTTTTTTTTTCGGTGCTTTGTTTAGCTTTAACATTTACGAAGGTTAGACAAATATCCTCTTTTCTTCTACCTCTGAAGTGCCAGACCTGCCCCAGGAGTGTTGGGGCACTTCAGGGAAAAAGGAGAGGGGCTAGGAAATGGATTGTGGGGGTGGGATGTTGGGGCGGGGGAGGGGAAAGTCCTGTTGAAGGACGTAGATATCCACAGACTGGTGGTCTGCCGGCAGGCCCTCATGGTGGCGTGAAGGACACTGTCCACACTCCGCCCACAGGGCCCTCTCCCTGCCTTGGGGCCATGGCCACGATGGTGGAGGTCTAGTCCTTTTTTTGCACTTTCCTGTCTTGGCCTTGGACAAAACAGGAACTGGGGTGGTGAGAAGTCACTGGCAATTTGCACTTTAGGGCCTGGGGTTTCATTGGTGGCTTTAGTGTATCCCCAAATTGGGGCAGAATTGAGGGGAGGGGGTGTGAGGAATAGAGTCTAGTTCCTTACTGCAGCACCTTCCCATTGGGAAAATGTCTCCCTTTATGCGTGGCACAATTGCTAATGCCTATACAGGCTCTCCAAAGCAGGCCGAGACAGGGCCTGGAGTGGTTTAGGTAAAGAAAATGCACTGTGAAGCCAAGAGAGGCTTTGGCTGTGAGGCTTGACGATCGAGCTGTTACATCCGGGTTCCAGGCCAGGAGTCATTCCTGGCCTTCCTTTCCCTTGGCCTGTGTTGCTCAGAAAGCTAGCTGATATTTCGGCCTTGGATGTCATGGGGTAGAATCTTGAATCCTTTTTCCTAAGAAACTTTGAAGACTGGGAGCCAAGAGGGCAGTTGTTCATCTAAGACCCTTTTTGTCTCCCGCCATAAACACAGGCCCAAAGGAGGAAACGTTGGTTAAAAGGAGGACTTGGATGAGTAGGAAATTTGAGTGGCACAGTCCTTGGGACATTAGCACTTTCCATCCGCACTGTATTCACTGCGACCGAGAAACAGCTGTAACCAGAGTGCGTGAACCTCTGGAGCTTGTTAGCTGCCCCCACCAGCACTTTAGTCACTTTCCTTAAGGGGAAACTTTTTGTTTTTAGAAAGGTATTTAAACCTTGCTCTCTATCTTATTTGCTACTCGATTCTAGTCTTAGTTGAGTCAGGCAACAGAAGCCAGCAGTCTTTATCAGGGCGAACACGTAGCATAAATTGTACAGAGACGTTTCGCCTCCACCCACCCAGATTCCAAACTGGCCTGCCCATCTGAGAAGCCTAGAATTGCTCATGGCAGAGAAATCACGGGGCCACTTACTGCTCCTCTGCTGGGTCCCAGAACTTCTGCCATCATGCCACCATATTCCATGGTGGTGACCCACTGATCGCTTGGATGTTGACAGCATCCAACAGACAATGGGGCCCTCTGAGAGACATAGAGGGAACAGGACTGAAATCTTCTCTCAGACTATTTCAAACTTAGTGGCTCTAAGGAAGAGAATACGAGTAGAAATAGGACAGTGAAGAGGACCTAGATATTAGTGTTGCCACCAACATGCTGAAGGACTAGTTTTCGTTCCTTCAAGACACCTGGTCAGGGTGGGACAGGTGATCTCGGAAGCCGCCTCCTTGCTCTCACAGCTCGGAAAGTCTGTGCATAGTCTGGTCGAAAGGATGTTCACGCCACTAGAAATTCAATCACGTTGAATTCTGATCCCACCATCTGAGGGGGTGCAGATATGTGTACACATACCTGGACCCACACAAGTCTTACTTTCTTCTTGAGAGGATGTAGATTTTAGAGTTTCTTCCTCTGTACCAGTTTACCAAAGCTGAACAGTAGCAAGGAAAGGACATCACTCATTAGAAGGTAAACAAAATCGCATCACCATTTAGGAACAGGAGCATGCTCAAAGAGAACTGCTCCTCAATTTATAATGTGAAGGTTTAGCAATAACGACGTGGAATTCATCATTACAGAACATCACACCAGATCATTCAGGCCGACTGTTTGGGGTTAGGTACTCTGGTGGCACAATGGTTACGGCTTTGGCTGCTAACAAAGATTGGGAGTTCAAATCCACCAGCCGTCCTGTAGGAGAAAGCCGTGACAGTGGCTTCTGTTAGGATTTACAGCCTTGGAAACCTTATGAGGTAGTTCTACTCTGTCCTATGGACTTGACAATGGGTTTGGATTTGGCTGGTTTCCTGGGCAGTACTTTGTGAATGTCTTCATTTTGAACGCAGGAGAGGGCAGTCTTAGGACTAACTACACATGCCAAGTGGTAAGTAGGAGAAGAAACTGATCTACATACAGTAAATACTTCCGTGATTTCCAAATCCTTTACACGAATAGACCAATATTTTAGACATAGATAGTGAGATACCGTTATAGGGGACTTTGTGATTTCACCCAGCTAACCCCAGGAGCCAGATGCAGGAGGCAGAGATAAGCAATACCACTAATTCCCCACCGGCAGGTTGATGACGATGTATTTTAAGGAGGAGCCACAACAAACGACTCAGCTCTGCCACCTTGTCAAGCACCCACGAGCCTATTGGTGGCTACAGCTGTGCTAACTAACCAAGGACAGGCTTGAATAGAGAAGTGTGCGTGCGTGTGTGTGCGTCTAATATATTAGATTGAACTGTTTTTAAGTTCAGTGCTAGAGACCAGAGAATCATTTGATCCAAATGATTTTTTCTCCTTCTACGCAATCAGTAAGGACTAAATCCTTCCAGACGCCCCATTGTTTTCCATAGATCCCTCCGTCCCCCACAGACGCAGTGGGGCAGCTCCTTCCCTTGGACATACATCTCACTCTGAGCTTTAGAGAGAGATGTCGTTTTGCTCTCTTTTCATGCTATTGGATCGTTACCTCGCTGGGCTAGCACCATCGGTGGTAACACTTTGGGAAAATTTGATGTCTCAGCTACAGCACGCATAAAATAAAGTTACCGTGACAGTTGCCATAACTCCGTCCTTGGCTCTACAAGCTGGCAAGTAGAGGGCTTGGTGGTGTGATCTCCGCCAGGTTTAGGATTAGGGTCAACACTTGGGCCTTGCATCTGTCCCCAACTGCGTGGGAAGCCTGGCCCCAGGACAATGTATAGCCCTGAAGGCCGTCATGCCTTGGACTCAGTGGACAGCAGCACCTTCCGTACTTTCCGAAGCAGCAGGCACGGTCAGGCTTTCTCTTTGGTTGGCCGGGAGGCTTGGACTGAGAACCCAGCATGTTCAGTTCAGAAAGGTAAATGGACTGTTACCTGATTGAACAAGCAAACAGGAGCCATGTATTTACTTTTTTTGTTTTTCCTTTCTCCCTGTAAGCCCATTCTCTCAGGAACTAACTCTAGAATTTTGAACTGAAAAATGAAGCCCATTTTCTTGAAGCTCCATGATAGGAGAAGAGTTCTTATTTTAAGCAAGTTACTTGGTTAACTACTTGCTATAAGGAAAATTGTGATGTGCTTGTAAGGCTTCGGTCTTACAGTATCCAAAAATCTCAGTGGAGACAGACATCCTTGGGGAGCTTTGAGATACCTAAATAGAGGAGTTGTTGAAATGCTACCATCCTCAATGTTGAGAGGATGAGATTTGTTTTTTGCGACTGCCCCAGCTGACGAGCCCAGCATATCAAGGACAAGAGAACCATGCAGAGCCCTCCCCCAGGCCCGAATGACCTAGACGCCAGAGGCCTAGGCTATCTGATGCCTGTACCAAGTCTTCTGTTGCTTCCCAGGTGTTTCTAAGCTGTAGAGCGCAGTGGCAGGAACCGGGTTTGCTAACGCGTGGGTGCTGCTTCGTGCTGTTTTCATGGAGCTGTGTGGTTATTTCAAGCAATAATTAAGGTGCTTTATCACTTCTTGGAGCTGCAAAATGGGTTCCAAAGTCGAAATTATTGCTCAATCGGTTTTAGGATCACTAAGGCTTCTTCAACCAACATCCAGACCATTCCTTCTCCCCCTCCGCTGTCCTCCTGGCTTGGCACTTCCTGCTTTGTCGGTCTGTGCCCTGCTGCGGGCAGACACCACTCTTCTCTGAAGGGGAAGGAGTCAGAATGAATGGGGCAGCTTTGGTCTCATTTCAGGATTTCAGTTTCTCTTCCTTCTCTTGCCCGGGTGCTTTTAAACTTCATTGCTCTGGAAAGTTTCCATTGGGAAACTGGTTCGAGACGTCGGAATACAAGAGCCTCAGAGCAGCCCAGTGATGAAGATGGTATTCTCCAGAAGGCTATTCACCAGTTCGGGAACCCTGCCAGCTAGCCAGGCTGGCTGCATACGCATCCCCGCAGCGGGGCTTCCATCCTACCTCTCCACCGTTCGCAGCCAGGCCTCGGGCTTGTCCTACCTCTCTTCATTCGACATTCAACTGCTTCTGTAGGCAGCCTCGGGAAGCCCCACAGTCTACTGAAACACGCCTTTCTTCCAAAACGGAGGCGGTCAGCGGGAGGTGGGTCTCTCTTCAAGACTACCTCTCTAGGGTAAGCTGCCTTCCCGTCTGGCCCATAGAATCCCCTGTACAAAGCAGTGTCGACTCAGCGCCACACTGGACTGCTCTAGTGAAGCAAAGTGAGCGCAGGCAGTGTATCCTAAACCGCTTTATTCTCTCCCCTGCAGCATCAGGCGGAGCTGCCCAAAGCAGGCCTTCC